GAATTTATTTGAAAGCTTATATGATTATGAACCAGTTGAGACGGTTTGGGATATTTGATTTCGTTTGTCTGGCCTTACTAGATGATTGTTGTAAGGATAGGGCAATCTGTCTCGATCGCCCCAACATATATCCAGGAAGGTTTTCTGAAAATGAGCATTCTTTAACAGCTGATCCATTAGCTGGCGGTTAAGTACGGATCTATCACAGTTTCTATATAGTTCACGGTATTTATCACATAGTATTTCTTGATGTCGACGACCACACGCCGAGCATGCCGAACCGCAATTTCGACTAGAGTGAGTGATTCCTAGGCAACGCGGACATAATCCAAGATCTTTCAACCGAAGGGTACGTTCTTCTTCATTTTTATACAAATGACAGTTCTCTGTTGCGTGGACGAGGGTGCAGAATATGCAAATGCCATGAGCTACACGTAGGGATTGTTGCTTAAACAAAGCTACGTTGATTATTCTTAATACAAGACTGACTAACTATCATTTTCGCCCATCGGCGGGTCAGCTCAATGAACGTTGAAGCTGTTGCAGACAGACGATTCCGCTCTTGATCCAGTCCATGATCTAGCAACTTCTGAGCAGTAGACTTGCACTGTATTAACCATACTTCTTTGAAATAGTGAATACTTAGACAACATTCGTATATTCCGCGACAATGGTTTATAATGACTTTCATAGCAAACTCGAAAGGGTCTGCCTCATCTTTCTTGGCTGCTTTATCTTAAATGAGAAACTTCAGCTTAACGAGAATGTTTGTAGAAAGGGGAACCTGGATTTTCTTGGGTGGTACCATCCTGCGTTTCCATTGTTTGCGATCACGAATGAGGGAATCGAGTAATAGGGGGACACAGGCTATCCGTTTAGAGATGCATGCTTGAAAGAAGATACGTGAATTACGTGGAAAATTAAATATGAAAAAGAGCGGGAAACAAAATAGAAGAGCAATCATTTGAATAAGTTGTGGAGTCGTAGAACGGTTGTGCATATGAGTGAATGAGTGAAAAAGGCTAATATACTCCTCCCTCCGCTTGCTCTCTCTCTTACTAATATGCTGCCTCATGCCGTCTTACTCTCTTTCTCTTTCTCTCTTCCATGACATCTGGTGAAAGGTGGGATTCGCTTATCCGCTTAAGCTCATATATGGTAGAATAGAGTAAAAAAGAAATTGATTGAGACGAATTGACCATTAGAGCAAAATGAATTTGAATACTAATTATGTGTTTAACTTATTGTGATTTAAGCTCAAAAAATAATTTTCATTAAATTGAATTGAAAAGCAAATGAGAAGATGCCGCGATGAAGCTGAGATGAAGGAGAAGATGAAGAAGAAGAAGACGAAGAAGAAGCTTCTTCAAATTAATTTGCATATGCAAATGAGGAAATAAGAAGCCTTCCTCAGTATTTCATTAATGAAATCAATAACAATAAAATACAATTATACTATGCATAGTAAATGATGCGAAATGTTATTTTGAGTTATGTGTACGTGTACGTGTCTGGGTGTGTATGTGTGTGTGTGACTGAATGTATGCGTGTGTCTGCATGTGTGTGAATGTGTGTGCGTGTATGCATGTGCAGCAGAGAGACGGCGCTATGATATACTTAGAAGAAATAAAGATAAATATTTTTTTTAATATCGATTTATGTGAGTGAAAGGGAGTGTAAGAATCGAGAATGGAATAGCACATAAAACCTTCTTGCTATTACATATGCTAATGAGATATGTATGCCACGTGAGAGTCACGTGACTTCCGTCAAATAGACGTGGCAGACAATTACAAGAAATAATCGGATGTTCAGAGTTGAAATAAAACAAGTGAACGCACTGTGAGTGTGTAAGGACAAGGACAAATCGGACAAGAAGCTTGAGGACGCCAAGGATGTCTACAGCCCATGCATATCGTATCCATGGCAAAGGAGCAGAAGAAATGCAAGAGATTGTATATAAATGTAAGCTGCCAAATAAGGCTGATTAGAATATATATAACTGGTTATGAGTGAAGAGTATGTGTGTGTGAAGCATCTATTAAGGTGAAAGATTATGTGGTCAAGGCAATTTCTCGAGCGTCTTTCAAGCGCAGCTATTGCAACCGGAGCAAAGAGTAATTGCGATCAAGAATATCTGGTAAATATGAGAAATGACATAAATTAGCATAATTAAGGAACACAAGAAAGTATAGTCGAAGTGCTAATGAAGAGATTAGTATTTTGAAGGAGATGCAGCATGAAAACATCATTTCACTGCTCTACTACTTCTCCAAACAAGTTGATAATGATGTTGGTTAATGAATTCATATACTATATAAGGATCTTATAATATTATATATGATGAGAGCTGTTTGTTGCAGTGGATTGTGAGCTTAGTGCTCGAATATCTGCCGGAGACCATGATGATTTCGAGAAATAAAAGGAACTTTGTCTTCTCACCATTTCAAATCAAAGTAAGCTCCGCCCATATGTTAATTTGAGAGGAAGTTTTCCCTTTTACAGCTTTATTCCTGGCAAATGTTTTCAGCCTTGGAATATATTCATGCCAAATCAATAATTCATTTGGATATAAAGCCATCAAATATTGTAATTGATCATAAGGTGTTGCTTGGAATAGTTTATGACTTACTAAATGCAACATTCGAAGCTGGGCTTAATCAAACTGACGGACTTTGGCAATTCGGTGAAGATTGATCCGATGAAACCGCCCATGAACTGTTATCAGGTTGGCTTGATCTCTCCGTTCTCTATTCACATCTGAAACATCATCAGGTTACTCGATTCTACAGGCCACCGGAACTTCTGTTTGGATCAATCAGTTTCACTTGTGCTATTGGTTTATCAAAACATTCCTCAGTCTTTCTCCCTTCTGAGAAGATTGCTGAAGACAGAACGAGAAAGACGTATGATTAATTCAGACTTGTGGTCATTGGGCTGTGTCATCTACGAAATGACATCAAATCGAACGCTATTCAAAGGCAAATCATCGATTGAACAAGTTAATTTGAAATAATATACGTATAGTTAACTAATTATGTTATGTGATATCAGATGGAATTGATATTGGATGTATTCGGTTACCCTACCGCACAAGATGTCGTGAACATGAAGATTTCAAGGCCTCGTGCACCTAAGAGAGACGCTCGTGGTCTTCAATTGGTAATCACATCCTCCTTTTATGCTCATTGAATGTTGATTTCTTGATTTTTCAGTATATAGCTCAGACGATTCCGGAGGACATGATTGCTTTTCTCAGTAATTTTCTCCAAATTGATCCCACCAAACGGCTTTCGGCACATGAAGCTTTGACTCTCAGCTTCTTCGATGAACTAATTCAAGTAAATCATTTTCATTAGTTCGGTGATTGGGTATTGAAATAACCTTTCAGAACATTGAGAACTACGAAATAACGATGCCAGACTTTGTGAGAAAGAAGTTGGCCAAATAATTTTTTTCATTCTTACATTGCTATTTGGTGTGAGCGGTCGTGTTTCTGGGAAAATAAATATTTTGGATGGAAGACATTAAAGGTTTTCGATTTTCTGCTTCACATCAACTGAGTAAAGGTTCAAAAAACGCACAAATGTAGTTTCAGACAACGCTATATCGAAATTACAATTAGTTTATGTGATTTGCATATTCATATTGGTGCTGTGCTTTATACTGCCGACGATAATGCTGAAGATGTTGAATAAGTGAAAGCTCGGCTGGCTGTTGAAATAAATTATGAATTCATTATAGATTTTCTAGCTCAGCGGATGAAGAAATAATTGAAGAAACGTATGGTGGACATGAGAAGTGTGATTCAGATGGCATCTATCATCAGTCGGCTCTTCAAAACATGAAAATTGCATAAAAACTTTCAATTTACTCTCTTTCATTAAATTATTTCATTCAAATGGCTTTTCCTTTTGTTCACAGAAGACGAAGATAGAACAAAAAAGATCATGTGGAAAGAGAAAAAAGGCTTAGAAGAACTCGTCTGATCAGATTGTTGTTTTCGTCTGTCGGTTAGAAGATGTCCGAGGATGGCATACCAGTTACCAAATAAAAGAAGATTAATCAAGGCGATACGAAGCAACAGATTGCTACACCCAATCATTTCAGTTTGTGTTATTTGATTCTTTTATTTATTCTCTTATTTTTTATTTATATTTACTAGATTCTCTCATATCTCGAATGAAGAGGCGATATGCCGTTTCTCTCTGTACTTTTCCCTTTCTCTCTCTCTCTCTCTACTCTCTCTCTCTCTTTCTCTCTCTCTCTCTCTATAACTATCTTTTATCCTTCTTTACCTTTAATGCATTTTCAATCTTCTTCCAAACTCAAAATTCAATTCTTATCCTCCATCCCAAATCCTATTAGCCTCGTGTTTCACGTGACTTCACGTATTCTAATTTCACGTGTCCCATCATTTAGTCTGTTGATAGCACTTTACCGGCTGCATTCCGTAAATTATAAAATATTATAGTTAAGTAGATATAAAATAATATAAATATTCCACTTTTCTTTGTATTTTGATGTGCGTTGAGGAAAAAAACCGGATATAAGATCCCCCCCCTCTATCTGCCCAACCAAAAAAAAATTTTCATTTGAATGACGGTCACAACATTTTCCAATTGACGGCAGAATAACACAAAATGTTGTCTAACGGATGATTGTTGTTCTTTTAAACAACAAACAACACTCTTACTCCTTCTTTATAAGGATAGCCATGTTTTGTTGTTGACGCCGCCAAGAATACGAAAAAATTTCGAATTTTCTTAATTTTCCAATGTTTGTGTGTCCTTTAGACTTTATGCTTATCCATTACTACTTTTACTATGTTGCTGTTTTCCGTTACATCTCATTCTGGTTGTTCCTGAGAGAGAGAGAGAAGAGAGTGAAGGGAGGAACTTCTTCCTGCTTCATTCATATTGAGCTTGTCTACTTCATTTTCCCTCATATGGCATTCTTTGTACTCTTTGATGGTATAATTGAAAGACAAAAGAGTAAAAAGGAATCATAATTCAGTGTCTCTCTTATTCATTCAACTTTACAGTGCAAATGCCCTTAAAGGCCCCTTCTCTGTTTCTCTCTTAATCTCGCATTAGTCCTCTCTCTCTATTCATTCTTCTCTTTGAACTCAACTTCGTACACAAGTTACTCAAGGCTAGTCTGGACTACTCCCTTACTTCGTTCGTTTTATTACTTAACTCGGACCAGTCTTTTCGTATTTTCGATAGAAAACTATCTAATATTTTGAGAAGAGACAGATAGAGAGACATGGAATCTTTCTATGAAAGATTGAATGTCCTCTAATCCTCTCTGCTTTGCTACTTACTGTTTCTTCTCAATCTCCCTCTGCATGCTTTTCTCAACGACTAATCGTTGATGAAAAACCTGTTTACCTGTTCGAATGACTTGAGCCATTCGATCCTCCATAAAAATGCTATCCTATGTAAATATTTTTTTTTTTTACATTTATTGAACTGAAATGAAAATGTAATAGTAATGATGTTACACTGAGGTTGAGACGATGGTCAGATGGCCAATTGTTTGTCTTGTTCAAGCGATTCCTAAGGTTTTTTCATTTCAAATGAGCTTCTCAGCTTCTATCTTTCCCTCTCTCCCTCTAGTTCGCTCCTTCTCTATCTCCCTTCTCTTCTTCCAATCCATTTTTTTTCTTTTCATTTCCGCATTTCAAAACATTACAAATCTGATGTTGATTTTGGAAACGGAATGAAATAATTTCAAAATGACTGTCTTATCGTTATCATACGCGCTTTGTAAATGTTCAACCGCTCTGTATGTCAGCCCGTAGTACGAATGAATATAGTCTCACGTAAGCTTTGACGTGAATTTCAGCAGTCACGCGAATTAAGCATGAATCATAGAAGATTTGAATGATTTACGTTTCAAAAAACTTGATTTAATCTCGGTTGTAACTTTTTTACACCAAAACTTCATAGTATGACCGTTTATGGGACTGGAAAGATCATTTCCATTAGTTTGCATCTCAGATTTGTTTTTTGAAAATTATTTGTTGCGATGTATGTGAGTACAGATTGGTGCCTCTCATACTCTTTACACTTAATGAGAGTTTGAGAGAGAGAGAGAGAGAGATGGTGGAGAGAGGAAAGTTATGATTTTGATTGTGTTATTAATGAATTCAGTCGCCTTGACAACCATTTTCTTTTTTGAAAGCCTCTATTAACAACAGGTTGAAAATCCCGGGAATTGTATTCGATCTTCACTTCTTTAAGAGGGAAGTAGTGAGAGAGAGAGACTGACGTGTAAAAAGCTTTCGATTACGATTCGATTTGGCTTACGTGACCTTCGATGGCAACCTCGATAAGGGCTTCAACTAGGACGAAAAGAACAAGACAAGCTTCATCTAAACTAGTGCGATAATCGTTAGATCATCATCAAACATTCAAGATAACTAATGAGGAGAGAGTTCAAAGATATAAAAAAGAAAACATGGTTGAGACTAAAGCGAGAAATCTGCCTTTCACCTCCATTCTTTCTTCTTGTTCACTTTCATTCAACCTTGTCGTCGATGCTTATCGTCGTTGCCATCCAACCCCATCTGTCCCTCTCCCGTTTCGAAACGTTCACTTTCTACCTCCACATTTCCCTTTTTAACTGCTTAAAAAGGTTAAAGTGGCTGAAACAACAGAAGTTTCTAAGTTTAGACTGATGGTGCATGCACACACACACACACACACACACAGACGCACACACATACATATACACACACGTCAGTGCCTTTCCATCCCGCTCCACTAATAATCCACAAGATTATCAAGATTATTTGTTTCGTCTATATTCCAAATTGATTTTGCAAAAGCTCGAATAAGCCCACATTTGTTTCTAATATGCCATAAGTGCAGAAGATGTTTGATTTTCGCTTTGAAAGTTCATTACCTTGCAGATTATTTCCCACCCCCAACGTTTCCATTTGTCCGTATGCGCTCAATGCGCGCTTTTTCTCTCTAATTTTGGGATTGGGTTTTGTTTTTTTTGTTTCAAATATAATTTCATTGTGATTTCTTCATCTCTCTTTCGCTTCAACTACTCGTTGCTTTCATTCATCTGGAATCAACGATGAGTCGATCTTTCATGACTCTCTCCCTCATTTACTCTCTTCATTCGTCTGTTTCTTTTCTATCTTTCTCTTTTTTTCTTCTTCTTCTTCTCCCTTGTAATACTTCTTTGAGTCAGCGAGATTCTCCTTCAAGCACTCCTCCCTTCTTCAATGCTTCGTCTTTAGATCAACAAACGACAAAGCAGCCAGAAGTAGGACTTGTGAATGCCCGCAAATCTAGCTCAATACAAACGAATTCAAATTTATATTTTTTTCACGTGCGCCTTCACGTCATTACGTGAGCACATAATATTTTCATTTTCGCTTCTTGACGCGCAGCAACCGGTTGCGTTTTCGTTTCCTTCTTCCTCTTTTTTCTTTCTTTCAATCTAAAGCATCAGCCGGCAGATAATATTGAACTTTCATCGTACTTATCGAACTATTTTAATAATTCTATGTATCCTCGAACCGTACACTCGTTCATCCGCCCATTTGATGAGAATATGAAGTTTGGTTTCTCAACATTCAAGTTTGGAGCTTCAAACTGCGTTGTTGAAAAACAAGCGTGTAGTTGTAGTCCCATTTTTATTTTTTAACAGATGGGAGAAGAGAAAGAAGCTTCCCCTTCAAACTTTAAGGGCACTTGGGCTTAAAAAGCCATCACCTGAAAGTTCAGTGTCATCAATGCGTTCGCAATCCTTCCCTCTTTTTTCAAGGCTTTTGCTTGTCTTGATCATCATCAGGCCATTACACATAAAGCTGCAGCAACTCAAAAACGCCGTTTCTTGAAATTTCCCAAATTTTTTTGGCTTTCTAACTATTCATTGAATAGAAGACTATAAGCTTCTTATTAGCATAGATGGTGTTTCCGCTTTTTCTCCACTTCCAACCTTAAAGCATGAAATGAAAACTTGTCCACAAAAAGTGAAACGAACTTGATTGTTTATATGTTTGTTTAGACTTGTTGTTAATATGGGAAGAAATCAAGAGAGAAAGCGCCAATCATTTTTAATTCTTGTCTCATCAGGTCAATTACCTTCTTCAGTTCCTGTACAGGTTTTCTTGTTTCTAACTTCTTCTTTCTTTGGCTTCATTCCACATGTGTCGTCTTTGTCATTTGTTATTGCTGTATACAAGTGAATTTCAATCATCTGCCTTCATACATCTTTTCTGGTTTTTCTTTTTGTTCCATCGAAAAGCATCTGTGTTGTCTTTCATGAACACTAAAGCTTGAGCTCAATGAGAGGGTTCATACAACACATGACGTCACGCTTGTATCTATGCCGTATGCATTTACGACAAACATTGAAACTGCCTTATTCGGCAAATAAAGGTCTTTAACTATGCTTTCATCTATGAAGCAACTTTTTTCCTTTGCTTATCTATAAATCTGAAGACTTGATAACTTCCTTATCCGACAAGCAGTTCAATAATGCCAAAGAACACAGCTTTTTGGCAAACATCGTACGTAAGACGCATTTTTGTTGTGACGCTCATTCTTGTCATATTTCATAAACTCGGGCTCATCGATAAATGTCTGTAAAGTGCGAGTAAACATCGAAGCATTGGCAATTAAGTTGTAAAATTAAGTTTCTTTTTTTGGTTTCTAAAGTTTCTTAAACACTATGGCGTTTACTGGACGCTGGGGTGTGCCGTAATAGCAGCGGCGTCTCGTTTCGGATGTAATATTCTCGAGAAGCGACTAGTTTTCGTGTTTCTTCATCGACCTTCAGTCACACACACACAGACATACACACACACTCACACACACACCTGCACATACCTTGAATTACCTCTCTTGCTTTCATTTCCTTGATCTCTTTCTCAAACTTTCCAGTAACTTTTCGTAATGCTACTATTAGACGTTCTTTTCCCTCCATGGCATTTACAGAGTGAATGGGAGAGAACACTTTTTTTTTATTAAATTCCAGACTATACCTGAAAGGACAATCTAGAGAAAGCTTCGATCCTTGTTTACTCTACCTGCCACATGATTTTCTTCCTCGTAAACTTTCTTTGCTTCCACAGATATTGTTCGTACTAGTCCCAGGGTTCCCCCGGTTCTCCCTCCCTATCTCCGTCGTCAACCAGATCCAATAGGCGTTCGAATTTTATTATTATAGTTTGAGTAGCAAATATTCCAACCTAAAAAATGTTAATAAACTAGGCTCATCCCTTATTATATCCTGTGTGTCGATCTCCCTCTTGTCTTCTGATAGAAGCCGCTAATACAAATGTCATTCTGTGTGCTTTGAGCGAACACTCACGGCATTATTGTGAATAAAAAAAAAGTTTATGAATTTGCTTTTGGGCGTCTAGGTCAACTTTCGTCAGTTTTTTCTTGTAGAATTGATAAACTCGACCTTTAACTTGAAAAATTGATGTTTGAGTCGATTGTTTTCCAAAAAACAAGGCGTTGAAACCTTATTGCTCTTGTTCTTCCCCCTCGCTCTCTTCTGAAACTTTCCCCAGAGCCTCGCCGAGCTTCTGCTCGTCAGCTTTCTCCCATGTTCACTTTAAACTTTCGCTCGTTTTTTTCGCCGACCTCTACCTCGTTTCAGCTTACTTTGCCCAGCTCATTACAACTGGTCCTGCGATTATGTGTAATGATAACTGTCCCCAAATTAACTTTCCCTTTTTGCTTACCTTTCATGGTCATGTGAGGGTTTGATAGTTTCTTTGCGTTATCGCCAAGCACAACTTTTCCATATGTGGAACAGTAGTCGTTTCTCACGTTCATTCGAAGACCGCATTGTTTCGTATTTTCCGTTTGTTCAGCATGGCGAATACCATTTTCAGTAATATTGTCTGTGTTCTCGTTTATTTTTCAAATTCAGATCATGTGCCATTGAGAATGACCTTGACAATGATCGTTCGAACTCTCTCCTCTCTTCTTTCTTCTATTTTTTCTCACTCTCTTTATGTTTTCTTAAAGCCTTTTATGGACGTGAAGCTTCTTTATGAGCTCTCGCTCTTCAATTATTTACTTACGCTCAACGTATGTGTTTGTACTTTACCTTATCTTTTCAGTGCGTTTTATTCATCTAGTAAATATCTAAATCTAATTAACGTGATAAAGGTGAGTGTTGTTCGAGTGCTCAGCCAGTCAGTGAGCTTCCTTTTTCAGTAATGTGGACAGTTTCATTAGAAGGTGGTCCTCGTCGTGTTAACCATGCGGCTGTGGCCATAGGAGACAACGTAACTCTATCTTCCTACACCTACTCCTACTCATACTACACATCTTCAGATCTATTCTTTTGGAGGATATTGCAGTGGAGAGCCTATGGATGCTGAAAATCCAATCGATATCCATGTGTTAAACGCAAGTTAGTTTTTCTTCTGTCCTTAATGACATGCACCAATTACGACTACACATACTTCTACTAATTCTATTTTTAAGGAACTTATCGATGGCGTCTTCTCAAGGCTAGAGAACCTGATTACGGAGTTAATTCCGACAGTTCCATTCAAGACGGTGACGTTGAGGTTCTTTCCATATCTGGAAATTTATTTGCTCATTTTACAATTTATAGAATAGTGTACACGACGAAGAAACAGGCAATTACGGTTATTCATCATTCCCATATCAGAGGTATTATAGTTTCCCAATCAAAATAATCGCGTACACTCTAGGTATGGTCATACGGTTGTAGTTTACAAAGATAAAGCATACTTATGGGGAGGACGTAATGATGAGTCTGGAGCTATCAATGTCCTTCATGAATTTGATCCAAGTTCGAATTGCCTTCGTTATCGCTTCATGATGTTTTGATCATTACAGAAACTTTGACTTGGAGAATAGTCCCAGTGACCGGAACTGTCCCTCCAGCTCGAGATGGTCATTCAGCTATTGTTGTTGGAGACAAGGTTTTTATTTTCTTTTCTTCCTGCTCAAAACAACTTTTGTGCAATTTCAGATGTATATGTTCGGAGGCTTCGAAGAAGATGCTCAGAGGTTCAGTCAGGAAACATATGTTTACGACTTCGAAACTTCACACTGGTCGAAGATGAGGACAAACGTAAGACCTTCTTCTTCGCATATCCTCTTAAGTACATTGTCATTCAGGGTTTCCCCCCTCTATGGCGTGATTTCCATACTGCTGTAGGAATAGGCAACATGATGTATGTTTTCGGAGGACGAAGTGATCAAATGGGACAGGTGTCGTCTGCATATTCAAGCGATTCTCATTATCCTTCTATTTCAGTATCATTCTACTAGGGATGTCTATTGTGATCGCTTGAAAGCATTAGATCTTTCAACTGGTGAATGGGTCGAGCCTGTTGTCAAGGGCGACAGACCGTCCGGTAGACGCAGCCATTCAGCTTGTGAGTATAAGAAAACGTCTCCGAAATGTAAAAAAACTCTTTTGAAGGGGCCTATAACGGCAAGATGTACATATTCGGTGGATTTTTAGGAACAAAGAACGAACATTACAATGATTTGTATTGCTATGATCCAGCCACTTGTTCCTGGTCCAAAATCAAGGTACATATTCTGATGTTCGCTTTGCCCATTTTGAATGAATCATTTTAAGGCCCCCGGTTTATTAGTCGCTCCAAGTCCTCGAAGACGTCAATGTACTGTCGTCGTAGGCGATCGTGTATTCCTTTTCGGCGGTACAATGTAAGTTTTTGTTTTCATTCGGATTTATTGTTTTGTTTTTCTCTTTCTCATCCATTTCCTTATAGGCCACTCACCGGACAAACAACAGGTCTAGTAGATTTGTCTGATTTACACGTTTTCGATTATGGTTTGTTTGTTTGCTTTCCCATGTCTTCCTAAAGTCTTTTCTGCAGCTCCTAGTCTATTCCTGATTTCTGCTCAATCACTCATCCGAAGTGGAATGAGCAACTCTGCCCAACCATACTTACCGCGGGATATAATGTAAGCTTGTTTATAATAGATTCAAATGACGTGACTTGTTTTCAGCCAACAAATTCGATTATTAACAACGAACAACACAATTTCTAATCCACCTGTAACCCGGCACGAGGTTGCTGGATAAGGCTCGACGAGTTTTTCTTACTTTCTACCTCACTGTATATCCCTTTCCCATATTCGAAAGCAACCTATGTGATTCTGTATATATGCATGCATGTCTCATGCTGACAACGAGTATTATGTTTTTAGGAATTCTTTATTGTTTCAATTTTTAGATTTGCCTAATGTCCACATATGGACGATGTGCTTCTTTTTACAACATAGTCCATAATATTATACGGGCCTTCCGATCTATCATAAACAAAAGACCTACCCTTTCTGAAAGTTAGGCACTCAGTGAGCTCATATTCTCTTTAATCAATTGTTTCTTGTTGAAATAAAAGACGTTTCAATTTTGTATGTTTTCAATTCAATCATTATCCAATGTTACATGAACACACATACTTACTGGCTATCTCTCATGTGCTTATGACATTTGCATCCAACCTCATTAGACCAATGCTCCATCTCAGTCTCTTTACCTTCCATCTTTCCATTTACACATTCCATATTAGGTATCTCATCTTATGGGTTTTTACTTGGCAGTAGCTTCAGCTTTCTTACCCTTCTCATATGTAGGATTTTTACATCTAGCTGACAAAGATGGAACAAACAGGAATGATCCTGGTTCTGTCAAGAAGCGGTTTGTTCCTTACCTACCCAGCTTCTTTCAACCATTCTATTTTTAAGCTGCATCGGTGCCATAGCTTGTTGCATATTTTCATTATTTATTACTTATGTTATTTTGAAACACACGGTAAGCTTGTTGAGCACTGGTAGTACTAACGCGCTTCACAGGGTTTTGATGCTCCATGGAGTTTAATGGGCTTTCGTAAAGCTGGATTATTCAATGCTCTACTATATCCTACTATTTTGATCAATCTTCTGTATGCGGGTCAATGGCTTTTCTTCCATTACGAGGGATATTTCAACAGTTTTTTCAGTGAGTGTGTGTGTTTACTAGAGTTATGCTAATCACCACGCATTGCCCTTGCACCTTCCGCGGCAATCAATCATTTTGAATTTTGATATGCTGAAGAGCGGTTGCACTTGTTTCGCGAAAATATTACATCCATCATTTCTAGGTTATCGGAATTGGAAAAACAGCTTTGAAGATGTTTGCTGGCTACGCGATGCTTTCTTGGTATGTTTACTCTTTATCAAGTTTATAAGCGCTATCTGTTTACAGGCTCCCGTCACTGAAGAAATAACTTTCCGAGCCTGCTCATCAGTTCTTTTAGATTGTTATTTTTCAAATATAACTAAAACAGTTGCCGTGGCTCCTCTGTTTTTTGCATTTAGTCATCTTCATCATATTGGAGATGATGTAAGACGAGGCTTGTCATTGCAAAGAGCTTTGTTAAGAAGAGGTCGTACACATATCAACTTCAACACGACAACATCCTGGTTTCAGGCTTTCAATGTTTGTACACATATGTTTTCGGACTCTATTCAACATATCTATTCCTGTCAACTCGTCAAATAGTCGCCCCAATCATCACACACTCAATCTGCAATACTTTCGGTTTACCTCTTCTATCTGAAATCAGTGCGTGAACTTAAAATGTAATCAAATGACGTCAGTGTGTTACAGATACGTTCCCTGACGCTTCTACAAGATTGAAACTATGGATTGTATTCATCGGAGGTATGCTATCTTTCATCGTGGCATTTAAGCCTTTGACAAACTCTCATCTATATCAATGACTCTGGATCTCATCAGTTGGTTCTTAAGATGCTCATGTAACAGCTTCACATATTAAAAATAATTTATTATTAGTCTTTGCTGAGATCAATCGTGTATTACGTTTCAATACATCAATATAAATATATTAAGATATATCAAGACACTTGCTTAGAAACCCCTTGGATAAAATGGCTCAAAGGCCAAACGAGTAAGAGACGAATGAAAATTTGTTCAAAATCCATGCTAGTCCGAACATTGGAAATACGGACTGCCATTGTAAGTTGTTGTTTGGTCATCTGGGAACCGAGAGTACTTGGTACCATGATCATTCTGAAAGGACAGCTTATAGATGATGAAGTATGGATTAAGCTACCTCATCAAGAATATGAGTTTCCTCTTCATCTTTGATGAAGAATCGAGTCAAGTTCAACTGAGGTACATCATAGAGTGTAGCCAAGAATAGCATCATACAACATAACCCAACCAGTAAATATACTGAAAGAAACAATTATCCGAAGAAGGGCTATCGGATCTACGCACCTGTTGCTCCAACTTTATATAAACTTCGGAAGGAGGTATCAGGTCTGTCTCCAGGTTCATAATCTCCTGCAAGTTTAGGATACTGACACATAGCGCTGAGAATAAACGAACCTAATCCAATAGTTGTCAAAGAAACAAAGCAATAATAGAATGCATCTAAGAATGTCCATTCGGGCTCAATGCATGTAAAGATGTAAGCTGGGATTACAAAAACAAAAACTAGAAGCAGTAACGAAACAGTGAGTAAGTGAAACATCTGAAATTGTTTTTCCAGCTTGTTTCTCGTCTCAGAAAACTCACTTGAATCTGGCCAGTGTGAAATATTGTAGCCAACTTTGAGTTTAGGTAACCCCGGAGCCATTGTGAGGGAGTTTTCAAACGGGCTACGATGGCCGAGAGAAATGCAAGAGTAAGAGGAATTCCTATCAGATCATAACAATATTGAGTCATTTCCGAAAACACCCACCTATTATGCAATATATGATAGTGAAGAGCTTGCCGTGTTCTGTTCGGGGAGAAATTCTGCCATAACCTTCAAGACATTGATTATCCGGTATTCTCATTTGGTGTTACTCACCTACTGTACTAATGAGTGTTCCTGAGAAGAAGAAGGCTTGCCCGAACGACCAATTCGGACTGTTCGACATATTTTTTTCCACCCAGATTCCATTGAGCGAAGCATCTCGAATATCATCGAACAAACGATCTATCTCTGATTCTGAAAAAAACGAAATTGAAATTGAATCAAGGTTTGAATTGCATTTATGATTTTTGTTGTCTTACGTGGGCATTTAGTTGCCACTTTGAATCTTTCAACTGCTATCTGAAATCGTGTGCGAGCCTCAATTTCATGTTCAAGTTCAGCAGATAAGAAAAGAAAAGCCCCAGCTGTTACATAAAGTAGAATGACGACAATTCCAAGGAAAATAAGAGAAAGATCTCCACTTCGCATCTAGAGAACGATCAGGTATGCTTTTGTATTTCAAAATGAAAGAAACGAGCGAATGCAGATTGTAGTGTGTATGTGTCAGGGGTGCTACGGACTGTCTAAATTTTGAAAAAAAAAGAGAAAATGGCTGATGATTGAAGCATTTTTTTTCTATTTTGGCTAGTCCATTGATCATGACCAGATAAGACAAAATGATCTATAGGTTTGGGTGTGTTAAACAACAACATACAACTATCTCCTTTGGTCATACAATCGAAGGGTTACATAAGGTATACCCTCTTCAATCAATAAACTTCATAATAACTTTATAAAATTTGGAAAAGAAGTTAATGCGTCAATCATTTTTTGTCTTTGAGCATATGCCCTTCCTAAAGCTGATAAGGCATTCTTCCCTCCTTATATTATCAACCTTGTATTCTATCAATGTGACCTGACTGCCTGTCTGCCTCTCTGTCTACTGCCCTCTCTAGTGCCGACCGCGAGAAAAGTTTTTTTCTTTTAAAACTTATTTTCAAAATATAAAAATATTTTTTTGAAATATCCGCATTTGAAGCGTTGAATATTAGGGCATTCAACTGGTTGAACGATTTAAGCTTGAAAATGGCTGGAATAATATATTCGACTAATACAATCTTTGGTATTGGTGTGTACGAGTTCATTTGGAGAAGGAAATGCAGTTGTTGGCTAGTAGATGTATCAAAAGCCATCAATCCTATAGTTATTTGCTCAAATGAATTCTATAGCGACACGTTCGTTCTTCCTGCCAACTATTGTTTCAGAGACCATTGTTTGAGTTTTTTTAATTCTTTGCTTTTTTGATTTTGAGACAACGCTTAGAGTAGGGGGTGCGTGCAAATGGTTACCTGGTATTCCTGCTTGCAGTAAACGATCTGTCCATTGATCCCTGTATTCCTTATATGTCTCTCGTTCTATTCGTTCTAATGGATATTCAAGTCTGAAATATGATTTATAAAATCTATTTTGGATGATCGTCAATGAGCACAACCGCATAACACGCTTGTCAAACTAGAAATGATGACGCTTCTACGTGAATGCCACGTGTGACGCAGTTAGCTCATTAGCATATGTGTTAGGTTAATGGATTGGATTGAAATTATTCTGGTTTTAGAATGGAAATGGATAAATGTAAAAGAAAGAAGAGTTATTTGCCTCACAAATACAGCCGCGCCAATAAACAGATAAACAAGCATAGATAATGCGCCAACTGCTAGACGTCGATTAGATTCCCTTCCATCAAAATTTGAAAGAACCTCAAATAGTTTCTTTCAGTTTTGAAACATAGATTGAAGGTTTACCTCATTGTTAACTGAGAATATCTGTAATCCCATTAATCCCTGTAGAGGTGCTTAGTCTACTAGATAGATAGATAGAGGGAGAGAGAGGGTGAAGGAGAGGACGAAAAGAAAGGAAGGGCGGTAGACAGAGAAGGAGATCTGAAAGATTTATGTTTATAATATATTATATGATAGATAATATATTCGGAAAACCTAACAAGTAATGAAATATTCAGAAAAGAGAGAGTAACCGCCGTTGGGAAGAAAAGGCAGAATGACAAATGACGGATTTCATTAAGCTTCTCAATGTTTTTTCATGACGCGAGACGAAAAAAATTAATATCTGTTGAGGAATCAGTATTCAGGAATGGAAGAGAGAGATTCGAAGATGCGCTAGTGAGTAACTGAAGCTCGAGCGTTGTTGAGAGAACGAAATGGATTGTCGGGGAAACGAAGAAAACTAAGCGGTTCTTATTACATCAAACACGATTCTGAAGCTCTTTTCAGTTAATGGCATTGTTGAATATACTTCTTCCGTTAAGGATTTAGTCAAATGAAAAAACATCTAAAGCATATAGAGAGAGAGAGAGATCGAAGGGGAGGGAGCGAACTGGAATACTAGCGTTCGTTCGTGAACTGTCATCATGTGTATATGAGTGAGTTGAGTTGGAAATATTCAAATGATGCTATTTCAGGCGAACAAAAACGTCTGTTTGAACTCTGAAACGAGAAGTTTTCCAGAAGCACGAATACAGATTACACTGAATGTAGGTTATTCAATGATCTTGAAGGAATAAGAAGGCGGAATAACAAATAAGTAATGAACCACAGAGAGATAGAGACAGATGTGGATATTTCTGAACTCTTGCCAGAAGCTTCAAGTTAGTTTTTTTGTTTCCGGAATCCATCTATAGGCAGTCGATTTTTGGAAATTCCAACTTGAGTGTGACAGAGTGAGAAAATGAGAGAACAAATGGAAAAATCATTCTCCTAATATGACTCGTTGAGTTGTGAAGAGAATTTTCGTGGAGGGTGGTTGGCTGCCTGCCTAATGCAGAGATGAGAAGAAGTGGAAGAGTGGTAGGGGAAGAAAGAAAAAAACATTAAAAATCAATTGTGAATCGGACCATTTATCTGTATTTCTGGTGAACAAAGAGAGAGAGAAGCATAGCTAAATGGAAGTAGGGGAGGGGGAGAAGGCTAAGTGTGTAGAGACAAGAGAAGTAAGCATTAAGAAAACTCTTGCATCCAAAACAGGAAACTGAGATGATGGGAATGGCTAGGGTTGGAAGAAGAGACTACAATAGAGCACGTGCTCTCAAAATAAAATTGTGTTTTCTAGACAAATCAACATTTTGTTGTCCTGCCATAGGACTCACTCATCGAAACTATCAAAATAAAGTAGCCAGGTAACGTATGCATTTCCATGTACAACCATGCTTCTTTGTCTTTATTTGGATTGCATTGGTGTGGAGTGGGTGTATGTGTGTGTGTGTGTGTGTGTGGTTGAAGGCAGAATCGACTAAGACATTGGCTTTCATGCGTTCTCCTTCACAATCCATATACCATTATAACTATATGTTATAGTTTGTATTTTGGATGGAATTAGATGCAAAATAATCGAGGGGAGGAAATGAATGTGTGAGAGAATGGAAAGTTACTTGCGTCAATGGCAACACAAGTGTCTTGGGTAATAACTAAAATTATTTTTTGTGTGCAGTTCATCAAACTAATAGGATGTTGTCTTTAGTGAGTAAGAGACGAAGCCAATGAATAAAGTGAGATGTTAAGAAATACTCGAAGAATACAACCGTTGAGTGAGAGCAAAACATCGGAAATGAGTTGTTTTGTTCCAAGACACGTGGAACGTGTAAATACGTTTGAATGCAGAAATTTGAATATTTGGGAGAAAGAATTTCACTGGCACTGCATGGCTTCTCGTTCCAACTTGCCAAATGGTCAGAAACATAGCACGAGCCAATCGACAAGAACAAAACGATTTGTCAATTCGTGAGACCTATAATCCCGTTCGACATTTATCACGCTGATGTCTGAAACCTATGTCCTAGTGTGGAATAAAGTTGGGAACAGGAGAGGAAAGAAGATGTAAAGATTTGTCAATACAACCTAATATGATTGGGTGTGTGTGTGTGTGTGTGTGGTTGGGGTTGTGTGTGTGTGTGGATGTGATAGCTTGGGAGAGGGATAAAGTACAAATAGGTCAATGATTTTAAGACGAAACATTCATGATGAGACTCATAGGAAGATGAAACGAAAGCTTAAGATGATGCTGAAGCTCTTGCTAGTTGCTGGTGAGCATAGAAATTTCCGAATATTGCCTTCAAATGAGCAATTGTCCGCATCGTTTCCTTGACATTTCCATTATATAACAACATTCTTCCTCTGTTATTTTAAGCTGTTAGCAAGTCGACGATTTCTATTTCTGGTGATGATGGGAGCTTGGCGAAGCTCTAAAAGCAACTAGTAAATTGCAATAAGATTATCGAAATGATTACGATTCCAAATTTTTTGAATAATTCACTTTATAACGATTGTATGCAGAAGCCAAGCGCTCAACTAGTTCGAAACATTTCAAGAGCATAATCTTCATTACGACAACAACAGAAGACAAGAGACAGAAGACAGAAGACAATTGAACGAAATTCCGTAGCGAGAATCATCTGGCATATTGGCAACTAAAATAGGAATTGGAAAGAACGATGGGCAGAAAACGACAGCTCATGATGATTCGACCCATAGCTCAAATCTCCAGAGAGATTCAAGAAGAGCCTATTTCATACTAATCTCATCATCAATGTTCTTTATATGGATATTCTCAAAAAAAACTGATTGTTTTCGAATTTCAATGAGAGAATTGAACAACGTGCTATACACTCTTACAACGTTTTATGCAGATTATTATATCCAACAGAAATATATCCAGATAATAAACAAAGAAATAATAGTACAGCCATTTTACATAGTTTCAAAAACAGAGAGAGTGTTATGTAATATTAGAGAAGCAGAAAATCACCTTGCTGACGCCTAATCACGTACGCAAGTTCGAATTAATTAATCATCTAATTACCCATGTTCATGTTCCTCATTAAGTTTCTAATCTAAACGATGAGCTTTCATCCTGTTTTACTTTGTTTCAGATACCTTCATGCATGTGTAGTATACAGTTAGGAAGCTGACCTTATGTCCATACTTTATGGTTCTTGCGAAATGATATCGGTATGTCGTTTATGACTTGTTGTATATCACATTCTTACATCCAGAACTATGTCTGGTCTTTAGTTTCCTTATCTGTGACTGTCTTTCATGACAGGCACATACCAATGCTCATCTTCTCTGATGATGAGATCAGAAACAGTACAAGAAGCTACTGTTCCTCATTTCAAACGAAGAGAAGTAGATCATTTCCCAGTTCTCTATGAGAATGTATTGCTACTTTCCACCATTTGTTAACAGACTATTTTAGAATGCAACCCTTCTGAGCTGGTTTAGAAGGATAGTTAGAGCAATCTGAGCTGGCTGATAACGAAATACTACCACTCAGTTTTCATCAGATGTAATTAACGTTTGTCCAGACACATAAAGGATTTGAGAGAAGGTGGTTTTTACTCCCATCTCCTTGGAAGATCTGCAGTAAGAGAGAAGTTGAGCTCACTAGCCCGCACAAAGAACTGACTCATTTGGGATATTGGACAGCTTGTATACTCATCATCCGTGAGAAGCCGTAAGCAAATAGCCACGTAAGAAAAATTTTTAAGTGAAAAAAAAATGACCCGGTTGTTCCCTTTCGGTCAAGTTTGTATCGAATTTGATAAAAATTAATTATCTTTTAGGTTCTTCCAAATGAGAATTTTGTCCCCTACGCGAATGATGAGATTTTTCTTGATTAGTGAAGCCAATAAGGAAACAACTCCGTCCCAAGGACTAATTCGTTTTGCAGGTCTCATTAATCTAACAAAATGCTTTGTAGGAAGTGTTAGATGTAGTCAGACAGTTCTGTTTTTTCATGTTGAGAACAAATTGCTCAACAACGCTCAGCCTTCGATGTTGCAAAGCCAGCCGTGTTAACACGGAGTATATTGTCTCCAGACGTTGTGTTTAAAATGGATTGGTATGCCTGTGTTATGTGCTGCTTGTCATCTTTCGGATTCTTTATATTCTTCTTCTCCTTGTATCTGCTCATCACAGTTCCTACAAAACTGAACAAGCTGTCTCAATTTGCAATACATGGACATGATTTCGCGTGAGTAGTCTCTGCCGTATCGTCTCTATCAATCTTTATGCAGAGCTGGGTTCACTCAGCTTTATATGACTCTTGGATGTCAACCACGTATTCTGCTTCCTTGTGCCAGTGGCTTCAATGGTGGATTCTTCTCTCGTGTGGGACTATTGAGCAACATTACACAAGCATGGTCTCAAGTTGTTGTTGTAACAGGTAAGTTGTACTAACTCTCAAGCATTCGAACAACTTGGTTCTTTCAGTTAGTGCATCGTTCTCTCTTCTTCTCATCATCAA